AAAAAAAAAAAAAAAAAAAAAAAAAAAAGAATTGCGGATTTCAGATCCAATAGCAAATTTTGACAGAGTGCTAGACATTAATACATCAGAAGTTAAGGTCAAAGTTCTAAGTTTGGGTTGGGGTTGTAGCTCTGTGGTAGAAGTGTGCAGCATTTCTGAGCTCTGTGGTGGGATACCACTGCCGCCGAAAGAAAATTTAAGGTGTTTTTTTTTTGTTTTGTTTTGTTTTTATTTAGGTACTGAAGATCAAACTCAGTGCCTTTGTACTGAGTTACATACCTAGCCATATATATTTTAATTTTTCTTTCTTTCTTTTTTTGTACCGGGGATCAAACTCAGGTCCTTGTGCTTGCAAGGCAGCTGGCAGCATCACTGAGCTAAATCCCTGGCCTAGCTAAATCCCCAACCCTAATTTTTAAAAAATTTTTAGGGTTTCACTAAAGCATTATTTTGCCCAGGCTAGGCTTGAACTTGCAAGATTCCTGCCTCAGCCTCCCAGAGTGCTGGGATTATACAGGTATGCCATCATGCACAGCTAAAAAATGTCTTTTTTACTGAGGAAACTATCAAACCAATATTAGATGTATCAGAATAATGAAGCCTTAAGTCATTACCCAGTTTACACAGTTATCATCTCATGGCCTGTCTTACTTCATCTCTGTCCTTACTTCCACCTGAGTTATCCTGGGTTACTCTGCAAAAAAAAAAAATATCTCAGACATTACTTAATTTTATTTGTATTTGAGCAAATATCCCTACAAGATAAATATTCTTAACAGGAAACAATCCATGTCATTATCTCACCTAAAGCAGTAGTAATTCCTTCATATGAAATACAGTCAGTGCTTAAATTTTCTCAATTATCTTCTTTGTTTTATGCAATTTGTTTGAATCAGAATCAAAATAAGGTCCATAGGCTGCAATTAATTGTTTTGCTAAGACTTTCTCTTAATATTATAGACACCCTCTCTCTTTTGTTTTATTTAGAATTTGTTAATGCAATGTTGTTATTTTTGTAGAGTTTGCCACAGCCTGCATTTTGCTGATCACTTCCTTATATTGTATCTCTGCCCTTTATGTGCTCCGTCAGTTGTCATTTATGTTTAGAGACCTGATCAGATGTAGGCTTACTTTGGGGTGGGGGGGGCTTGTTACTTCAGACAGAGTGTGTCCTACCAGGAGCCACAATAATGTCCGTTTTTTCCTTTTTGTGGTGTAACTGCCATTAGTGATCATTATGTAACTTCATTATTTCATTAGTGTTTTCAATGCAGCATTCTAATTCTTCCATTTTAGTATTTCCTTTTCCATTTACTAGCTAAAGTAATTGTATAAAGAAATACATTCCTTTGTCTCTATTTTGTTGATAGAGCTTGTCGTAGTACGGTTACAATACATACCTGATTTTCCCCCTTTGTATCCAATTTTCAAACTAATGAGCTCCTTAGCATCTACAAAAAGGACTAGTGTTTTAAAAAATGGTAATATGTATTTGTAGATTTAAATATGTTTGACATGTTTTATCTTTCGCCGATGTAGGAATTCTGTTGATGACGAGCTTCTCCGTCCGTGGCTAGTAGGAGCTCCTTCACTTGGCCCCGGAGCCTTTGTGTGACCCCGTCAATAGGACCTGATAGCTTTCTTGCTGGCAGTGTGACAGGGTTCAGAGTGATACACGGGGCTGATTGTTTGTGTGTCTGTCATTTTCAGGTCTTATCAGGTATTTAAGCTTTTGCTTCATGTTTTTCTTATAGAACGGTGTGAGGTATTTGTTAAGGACGATGATCATTTTTCTGTCATGTTTGCAGCTGTCTTTTATCAAATAGTTTTTCCTTTGATTGTTTTTAAAAATAGTTTTACATTTTCGTAGTCAAAGGTTTTTTTCCTTGTTCTTACCATCAAGTTATTCTTTATCACCACTCCCACCACCCACTTCTCCCTTCTCCCACTGAAAAAAGAAAAAAATCTGGCCGTTGGATTGTTATCATCCTGTTAAGATTTGGCAGTTGTGTGTACTGTAACTATTGAGATTCACAGGAATCAAATTTAGTTAACATTCAGAAGCAATGATATGTGAGATACTTTACATGTTCTCTTCTTGAAAGGTCATGACAGGAGCTGTCTTTTCTCTAGTATTGTAAATAACTTTCGTGTAAAAGATAAAAATAGCCTCTTAAAATGTTAAGCTATATGTTATTTTGCTTTGAGTGTATTTAATTGTAGTTCATTGTAGAATTTTGTTTCGTGATTATATGCTGAATCTTCCCCCCTTCCTTAATTGTAGAAAATACAGTGGACCTTCCCGTGGTTGATATGAATTGTGGACTACAGATCTATTGTGGAGAAATAAACTGGGCAGAAATAATATTGTCACCAGTATATGAAGACTAGGAAGAGGCTCTTCACTGTTGTCATGAATCTGTGAAATTATGTGAATAGAGACTTTTTCAGAACAATGGGGGAAAGAGCAAGAAGTACAGATAGTGATCAAGAAAGTAAGACCGGCAGACACCACTCCTGTTACTATTCATCCGATTTGGGAACCACACCACAGTCTTCTGGCCAGTCCTCGCCCGCCCCGCCGTCACCTGTAAATATTAGGGAGCAAAATCCTAAAAGACAAGTGTCAGATAACCAGGGGCATCACCAAGGTAAGTATTCTTTTGAAAGAGTCCAGTGGAGCTGATTTACATTTTGAATAGGCTGTAGCTTTAGAAATTGATATAAGTATTTTTTATGGGTCTATGTATTACCCTTTTAATATTCAAAGTCACACAATAATATCGAAGATAAGGGTGCTTGTTTTATTTTATCTTCTTCCCAAATAAATGTGTGCCTTGGTATCTCGGAGGTAGTTACTGTAAGGGTAAAACCAAAATAAAACCTGAAAACAAACAATTCTGTTTGTTTTTAAAAGGCATTCAAAGGCATGGATAAAAAGTGGTTAAAGGCATTTTTATACATGGAGTAAAATTACTTACCCTAGGCAACGCAGTGCTTATGGTAAAAGTTAAGATTGAACCTAGGAATGAAATTTGGGACCTGGAACTACCAGTCTAATTTGTTTTCTATTAAACTGTGTTATGAAGTAGACTTGGTTATTAAAATGTTACTATCATGGGACGTATTTGGCTATGTAATGTTCTGTAAATCTCTTGTTCATTTTAATAATCTCCAGTCCAGAAAACCCTATTGTACTGAGTAACAAAATATGAAAGGTTATAAGAAGAGCCTAGGAAAAGAAACTCACGGGTGCTGATAGTATGCATTCATAAATACAGACAGTTGTAAGAGCAGTAGCCATGATTGTTAAGATAGGCTGCAAGGCAGTGAGCGGTCAAATTGGGGCTGAGAGGAGCATAGGCTACATCAGGAAGCACATTTCATCCTGCGCTAATGTAGTTTATTGACTTTCTCTGCAGAATAGCCATTGAAAAGATGGAAGCGGAGGTACAGTATAATTCAAACTGCCTTTTAGATATTTTCCTTAAAAAGTGATATTTGCACATTAAAAACTACAAATAATATATATGTGATGTGCAAATATCACTTTTTAAAGAAAAATTTATAAGGGCAAATTTATATACATATGTATGTGTGTGTGTGTGTGTGTGTGTATATATATATATTCCTTTTTTTTCCACTACCTCTTGACACCACTAATCTGACTCATCAGAGGTGCCCATATTTCTAACAAATGAGTCCTTTCTTTTCTTTCTTTTTTCCAAGCATGCTTTTTTTTATTCTTTTTTTCCTTTTTCTTATTTTTCTCTTTTTTTTTGGTGGGGCTGCTTCCTCCAGATCTCTGTCACTGAAAGTTTCTCATTTCAGTTTTTTAGTTGACAGCATGATTTTAAACTTCTGCTATATAAGACAAATATGTCTTAAGATTGAACCTTAGGACATGTCTGTTGTTTGTAAGAAATAATTTGCATACTTACGATATTACTTACTGGTAAGGAATTCTTCAATTTTCTTTCTACTTTCCCCGAAAGTAGTAACTGCCCACCCAGTTAAGGAATCAGAACTATGTAAGCCTTACTTTATTAGGGAATGTAATTGAGAAAAGACTAAAAAACAGTTTCAGCATTGACCCAGAAAATTTAAATTACTGTCTTCTCTCTGACTTGTACTGTTTTGTGCTGTACACTGTCTTTTGAAAGAATTCAAATCTGCAGGAATTTGTCTGCTATGACCAAGCAACAGAGTAAACTGATATCTTTCTTTGGACACTAATTTCTCTTGGTTAAAATGCCATCACCAGTATAAACTGTGGAAAAAACAAATGTGATTAAGCAGCATCTTAGACGCTTGAATTTATGGATTTGGATTTTTAATAGCAAATCTGCCTTCTCCCTCCTTATTTTCAGTATATTTTATTTTTTCAAATAAAATTGATGCTCTAGCAGAATTTCTGTGTATAATAATAAATGTAATGAGGGGTTTTGGTTACACATTTTTGCATATTATATATTTATATATTATATATTTAGCCATCCTGTTTTAATCAGTAATATAAGCTTTTCTTGATCTTGTTAGATGCATAGTTTATTTTTGCTACATTAAAAAATGAATCAGATTTCATTTTTAACACCTGAAGAAAAAATCTTTGCATTCATCTTTTGGTGGTGACTTAACAAGAGAGGTAAAGATGACACAGCAGTCACTTATCTTCTGTCAGCACTACGTTTCCTCTTGATAGTTTCAAAAATAAAAATGAAAAGGGGAGGTGAGAAATATCTTTTGATGTGAAGTCAATGGTCAGTTTGTAGTCATATTAATAAGACATGCTAAAAATAAACGTTCAGATTGTTAGGGTGTTAAAGTTGGTTGTGGAAACCTTTTGTATCTGACTAGTTGAATAAAGTATTAATGTAGAACTTACCCTGATTCTTATGAGTTTTACTTAAGCTGTTGCTTTTCAAATGAAATAAATTACTATTTCTATGAAATCTTATTTTCTGAGCATTACAATTTTATACATAAAAATCAGAAATATATTAGCATGCATGAGGCTCTGGTTCACTCCCCAGCATAAAAAATAAAATCAGATTTGGAACAACTGCCATTCATCTTCACATATAGTAATTTTTATGTATAAAGTTTCTGTCATTCTGAGACAGAATACCTGTCGTGTAACCCAAAACCCTGCTAACTCAATTATTAGGAAAAAAAGAAAATGGAAATAGGGGACACTTCAAATTCAAAATTACATTGTAAAGCAGTGTTGTCCAGTGAAAATATAATTCCTGTCAAAATGTAAGTCTACGTGGTTTTACATTTTCCCATAATTATATTTAAAGAAACAACAGGTAAAATTAGTTTTGATTTATTTAGCCCAACATCATTTCTGCATTTAGGCAGTGAAAAACATTGTGAACTACTTTGCATTTTTTTAAAGCCACAACTCAAAATCCCACCTGTATTTCATGGTTACAGCATTATCTCAGTGCAGACTAGCACATTTCAAATTTCTCAGCCACATGTGGCTAATGGATAACGTGTCTCATAGTTTCAATTAGGCATTGCCCCATTTCGTTCATCACCACTTCCTTTCAAGTATTCATTTATAGAGCTGGGAATCCAAATCAGTGTGTGTCAAAACAGAATCTATAAACTATTCCATCTTTTTAAATGAAACTTTATAATGTCAAGTTGTAAAAAATGTTGCTTTCCTTGTTATTCTTTACATAACAAACCAGGTATTCATGGGAGGGGAAATAGGGCAAGTTGGATCTTCTATTTTTTTCTTTTTCTTCTCTTTCTCCTCCTCGACTCTGGAATGTGTTTCCTTCTTGATAAAATGCAGTGACTTTGGAGATTAAGTTGGTTATACTCAACTATGGCAGACTTTAGGTGCCTCTTTGCAAAGGCAGGTGCTCTACATATTGAGGCTTAACTTTAATGAACTTTTAGTGAAAGTAAAATCATTGCAATATTTTGAGAAATGTAATTTGAATATGTACACTTTAAAGATTTCATGTATTTATAATTTTAGGATGTGATTTTTTTTTTCTAGTTCTCACATTATATCAGATGTTGATTTGAACAATGCACAAAAGAAGTTCCTTGAAAAAGCATTTAGAAACACGCCTGTACTGTCATTTTCCATTTTCAGTTAGCTGTCACAAAAATCGGCTTATGTATGTGGTGTTATTCTCCATGTATGGATCAGGAAAATAAAATCAGAAAATCGTAATTGAATTGTCAAAGGAGTTGCTAAGTGGTAAATCTGAGTCCCAAATCTTACTATACGATATTTTGTCACCCTATTTCCACAAATGAAGAAAAAGAGCTAAACTTAATTTATAAGAAACATATCTTTACATTTCAGGTAACAATCACAGCTACCTAAGCACGAATGATTTGACTACCACAGTGCTTTATCCGGTGTTTATTTTGCACCATGCTGATGATCCCTGTTTGAATTCTTTTTGCCATCTTATCTATAAAGTTAAACATAGCTAAAACCTGATACTGTCATGTTGTAAAGCACTGTAGAGTAATTTCATATAAAATTCTGGATACTTCATATAAAATACTTTGATGGATCATAATCTCAATCTTTCTTAGAAAGTCCCCAAACCTTCTCATAGAAACATATTACAAGTTTAATAAAACTGCAGTTTATGAAATATTATAAAATCCCTTTTTAAGAACAGAATTAAACCATGTTGTCCAATCCCTTGTGTTTGAATAAATAAAATGACACTTTATAGCTTTCACATTCTTATTACTGTTTCTTTTTTAGCCCCTAGGAAACCAAGCCCTAAGGGTGCACCAAACAAAAAGGGAGCCCGAGTGGGATTTCGTTCCCAAAGCCTCAACAGAGAGCCACTCTGGAAAGATCCTGATCTTGTGACAAAACGGGTTCTTTCTGCAAGATTGCTAAAAATCAATGCATTACAGAATGAAGTGTCTGAACTCCAGGTCAAGTTAGCTGACCTGTGGAAAGAAAATAAGGCTTTGAAAAGGATTCAGTACAGACAGGAGAAAGTCCTGAATAAATTTGAAGATGCAGAAAATGAAATCTCACAACTTATAGCTCGTCATAACAATGAGATTACAGCCCTCAAAGAACGCTTAAGAAAATCTCAAGAGAAAGAACGGGCAACTGAGAAAAGGGTGAAAGATACAGAAAGTGAACTATTTAGGACAAAATTTTCCTTACAGAAACTGAAAAAGATCTCTGAAGCCAGACACCTACCTGAAAGAGATGATTTGGCAAAGAAACTAGTTTCAGCAGAGTTGAAGTTAGATGACACCGAAAGAAAAATCAAGGTAAAATTCGGATGGGTTCTAATTATGCTTTCTTGGGTGGGTTCTCGTTGGGCATTTCTTGAGCTCTTATTAAACAGCTGTTGACATTTGGCATTTGCTTAGAAATGAAAATACTGGGAGTATTAGCTTTCTGAATAAGAAATTTGGGAAAATTTAAGATTGTAAATTTAAGAGCAAGATGCTAAAAATCATATATATGAATGAGTCATATGTTGAATGAATGCTTAGTTCTATGAATTATAGTTATTTGGGGGAAATTATTTGGTTATCTGATTGGTTTTCTAAAATTGAAAATGATACTATAGCACCCCTAATATACAAAACTGACCTTTTGGGGTAATTGTATGAGAAATCCTATGTGAGTAAGTTTTTTTTTTTTTTTTAACTGAACACTTATGGCAGTCTAGTTCGAATACAAAATGTATCATCTGGGGGAAGGGAATGTCCCTACTTTCCAAAAATAAAAACTGATGAAAAGTGGGTGGTAAAATCCTAAGTAATCAATCCAAGAATACAGAAGCACTTAAAAAATATGTCTTTCTAGCGAGAGCAGAAGGAAGAGTCATATTTCATAACTTTTACACAGGAAAAGTATAGTAGATACCACTTACTGTCTGACAAGCCCTGAATCAGATTCTGTTGTTTAGAACGGACAAGTAGTTTGGCAAGCAAAGGTAGGGAAAAAGCATGGAAACAATGCTTGTTGTGAGAGCTCTCTGAGCACAAGAAGTTCAAAACCATAAATAGAGTTTATGCACTATATTACTTATGTGCTTTTAATAAGTAGCAGGTTATGCCCTTAGTCTGCACATTATGCCATGCCCAGTATACCTGTGCTATGCTGTTATATCAGTGGGCAGGAAGAGTGCCTAGTTTGTTCTCCAAATTTTAAAATCATTGTCTTCTATTTCATTTCACAGAAGTTATAATCATATACATAGGTTCTGTGAGCGGTCTCCTCGAAGTAAAAATCATAAGAAAACTTTTTGAAATGGCCACTTACCCATGAAATGGGATGGGAATGGGTACTAGAAGCAGTTATCACCATAAACATCAAAAAACTGACATTTTCATTATTTTTAGAAGGAAATATAAAATGTGCCACATAATAGATTTTAAAATTAGGAGTGAAGAGTCTGGAATACTAATTAATACATATTGTAAATTACTGATGGGAGATAGAGACCTCTATACACAATGGTAGCTCAGCTCACAAGCTTAATGCTTGCCACGATTCCGGTGGCAAGCCGGATTGGATGATCAGTGGTTAAATTCAATGTTGACCTTACGGGGAAATTTAGTTTGGTTCTTATCCAATTTGGGTTGTGACCAGAATCAGGGAAAGAATTAAATTTATGAACTGAGGTACCACTGTATAGAGAGAACATGAAATAGCAGTGCTTTCATACATGTACACACATGTACTGCCATCCTCTACGATCACATTCACTGCAGGGCCGTAATTCGTAAGTCCTGCTGTTAGCCAGCTCTCCTTTAAATCAGATTGTCTGATGTCATATAGCTAACACAAGTGTACAGGCCGCCTGATGGAACAGCCACGCATATACCACCAGTGTTTCAAGCTGGCTGGAACTTGTTATAGCCAGTTATAAAGGAATCGACAGTTTGTGGGGTTGGGGAGAAACCAAGAAGAAAAAAAAAATAGAGGTAAGTCTGTGGATTCAGAGATGGATGTAAATTATATGGCTGCTCATTCGGAGTCTTGAAAATCATCTGTAATGATGTGTTTGAAATAGTCTTATAGTGTCTTAATGGTTTTTTCATATTAGATTTTTAAACGATTTTTAATTTAACTTTTTATTTGAATTTATTGTAGACAGACATACAGTTGTAAGGAAATTATATAAAAGATCCCATATACCTTTTACTTAATTTCTTCCCGTGGTAACATGTTGTATAACTGTAACACAGTAACAATGAAGAAATTGGTTTTGACACATTAATACAGTTCATCAGACTTACTCAGCTTTCATTAGTTTTATGTGCTCATGTAAATATGTAGTTATGGGCAATTTTTTTCTTTTCTTTTTGAGACAAAGCCTCATGCCATGTAGCCCTGGCTGGCTTTAAATATGTGATCCTTCTGCTTTAGCCTCCTTCTGAGTGCTGGGATTGGCATGTGTCACCATGCCAAGCTAGTTAAATGCAGTTTTACCACATATGTAGACTAATGTGACCATGACCACATTCAAGATACAGAATAAAGTCCTTTGAGTTATGTTTCTATAGCCACCGCTACCACCCCCTTTCTTTCTTTAACTTGTGGTATCCACTAATCTTCCCACGATCTCTATAATTTTGTCATTTTAACACTGTTATATAATTGGTATAGTACAATATATGTACTATTGGTGTTGGCACCTTTCACTTGACATTCAACCAAGTTGTTGCATATTTCAGCAGTTTCTTTTTGTTTTTGAGTGGTAGTCCACTGCATAGCAAGACTCTCAAAAACCAAACAAAACTGAACAACAAAAATTTGACTACTCTAGGTTCTCTGCTTTTCCATATTCTCTGCTTTTCTATGTCTACAAATACCTTACTGTAATTTGTATGGGGCTTATATTAAATGTAGATTAATTTTTGGAAAATTGATATACTTTACTGTGTTTAATCTTGCATTTCTTACTATGTCACTGATTTCTAAATGCTCTCAATTCTTTCTGGGTTAGATTACTTTCAAGCTTTTATTTTCAAATCTCAAAACTTCTGTTGTAAAAATTGTTTTTGCAAAGGGTTTTCAATATTTTATGCACTCAAAGAAAGGACTTGGTTTTAGAAGTTTACTTTTTTTGTTGTTGTTGTTACCAGGGATCCAACTCAGGCCCCTGTGTTTGCGAAGCAGGCAGTGAAACCACTGAGCCAAATCCCCAGCCCTAGAAGTTTGCTCTTAAATTGCAAGAGTATCTGGTTTATAACTTCTTTACCTCAAAGTTTGATTAATAGATCCAGACTGCTTTCTTTCTTCTGTAATTGAAATATATTAGAATCAATATTTACTATGCAATCAATAGGATACTTTTCAGTATCTCACTTCTGTTGTCACATCCTACTGTTTTCTGAAGAATAGTAGGGTGTGACAGGTGAAACCCAACTAAGGATAATTAGTCTCTACTCTTCAACTTGCCTCTTCATACTTCCTAAAGTTTTGGATTTTAGGAAGCCACGTTATATATAATTTTATCTTTCATGATCTCAGCAATCAATTCAGAATTTGAAATATTTACTATTGACTTTCATATTTTGCTATGGAAGGTAGCTGTTTTTGTATCTCATTCAGTTTTTTAAATATATCAACACTGATTTTTGTTTTAAATTGGACTATAATCTATGTATACCACTAACTGGTTAAGGGAGAAAGGTATAAGAGCTAGTTTGAAGTATTCAATTTTGCAAATTAACTAAAATCAAGAGGATCCTGGATATATCTTGAAATTGCTGTAACATCCTAGTAGTACTCTCCAAGAATGACTGTCTAGGTTGAGAAGGTGGCTTCAGGCAGGCCTTCTGTGGTGCCTGGCATGTCATGGAGAAGCTCTTCAGGTAATATCTGGCAGTTACTTCAAATTAATTAGAGTAGAAAATCAAGCGGGCCACTACTCTCTTCTTCTCTCCTCAGTGGGCCAGTACAGTGGCAAAAGCTGTGATGGGTGTCATTGAGAAATGGTGATGGTGATAGTGGCAGCAGAAGGTACCTCAGGCCTATGGGACTTGACTCTGGGCCAGAGCTCTGTGAGCTACTGGCCCTTTGAGCCCTAGGCATTGGGCCTCAGCCCGAGCTGGTGGCTGACAGGGTTCTCTGGCATGAAAGGCTGAGGCTGCAAATTCCTCCAGGAAACACTGCTTAAACCTCCCACTGGATGTGTGGCCCCCTCTGGGGTCTCGCCTCTGGTCAGAGGCCATGAAGAGGTGGCCCAGAAAGCTGGTCTGCAGCCCAGAGTCCCAGTGCAGCCTCATCAACCCTGAGCATTGAGATAGACTTCTGGATCATCTCCCTGAGACATGGAGGCCTTTCACTGGTGCCTTGGTGGAAGATCTCTACATGATAGGGTAGATAGCTTGTGCCAGTGTGCTGAGTGACCTTTATGCCATGGGTGTCACTGAATGTTATGACATGTTAATGTTACTTAATTTCAGCCAGAATATGAATGAAGGAGAGAGAAAAGGCAACACCACTCATGATCAAAGGTTTCCAGGATGCTGCTGCTAATATGTATTGACTTATCCTTGTCACATTATTTTTCTGTCATTGTTTCCCTTTCTTTTCCCTCTTTAATTGATTGCCTTGCCTAGTGCATTCATTATGTTGGGATTCATGGAGATGTCATTATCTCATTGCAGAATATTCTTCCAAACATTTTAGAGTGTTGTTTTCGTGGTTATGAATAGCTTCAGATGTTTTTTTGTCATGGAAGTATTTATTTCTCCATCAGTTTTGAAAGATAAATTTGTGGGGTTCATCAGTCTGCATCCAAGCTTGTTTTCTTGGAATGAAATACTTCACTCCAAGCTCTCCTTAAAGGTTCATGTTGAGAATTCTGTTGTGATTTGATGGGCTTTCTGTCATAGGTGATTTGCTTCTTTTCTCTAACAGCTTTTAATATTCTGTTCTTGTGTTGGATTTCTGGAATCTTGACTATTATATGTCTCGGTGTAGATTTTTTTTTTAATCATAGCTAATTGGAGTTCTGTATGCCTGACTTATCTGCATGTCAAATTCTTGGGAAGTTTTCTGCCATTACTTCTGTAAACAGGTTTTTAATGTCATTTGTACTATCTCTTGCTTTTTCATTGACTCCGGTCAACCTTATGTTATCTTTGCATCATCTGCAGTTGCTGGATTAATTTTTCATGGTCCCCTGCTATTTTTAAGAAATCTTTCTTTTCATAATTGCTAACCACAAACCTGTCTTTTAGATCAGATATTCTGCCCTTACATTGGTTCATTCTGCTCCTTATACTTTCAGTAAAAGTAGAAT